GGCGGCTGACAAAGGATGGTAGGATGCCTGCGTCGGGGGCTGCGGGCTGCGCGCAGCCTGGCGGCCGCCTGAGCCACTTCACGCCTCGCGGGTGAGTGATCGCAAGGGCTGTTCGATCAGCCTCGCTGATCGGCTTTTCCTGGGCTCAGGCTCTCGGGCGGCGGGTCCTGACCCTTCGCGGGGCCGGGCGCACAGCCTTCGGGAGCGCAGGCAGCAGGTGCGTGTGCAGGGTCGCGGGAGAGCTGACGCTCCGGCCGTGCTGGAGCGGGCGCCCTGGCGGGCTCACCTGGCAGGCACTGCGCGGCGACTGGAGGCTTCCCCAGCGGCAGCCCGGGCAGTTGCCGCTCCTGTTCCCACGCGCCTTGGTCCTGGAGGCTCCCCTGCGCGCTGCGCGCTGTGCACACTCGCGTGCTACTAGTCGCCAGCCGCACCCCTCGGAAGGCGCGGAACAGATGACAGTCACTTCGCGGGCTCCCGGGCTCCCGGCGTGGGCTTGAGGGGGCCGCTCACCCAGGCAGGTGCGCGCCTCGGAAGACCTGGGGCCGCCTTTGTCTTGGGGTTAGCACGGATGCGCTCAGACCCGAGTCGGGCGCGCTGCAACTATTGGGTCCACTCTGGGCTCCTGGGCGAGAGATGCCATTGTGTTCTTGTGGCAGGCGGGACCGGGAGCTCGGACTTGAGACGCTCGGGGTAAGTGTCGCAGTTCCAGGCAGCAGAGCGAGCTGCCGCGCTCTGGGAAGTGAAATGGGCAGTGGGGCGGACAGATGCCGAGTTCTGGCCCCAGGAGGTGTGAGGGGAAGGGCAACCGTAGCCAGACTCACTCTCGCCCTTCTTTATGGTTTCGGAAGTACTTGCCTTGGGGATTGGAGGAGTGGATGGACGGAGGCAGAGGCGCGCCCAGATTGCAGCTGGGAAGCCCCGCGTTCCCTGCTCGTCCTTTTGTTATATTGGTAGTTCCAGACCGGGCTCGCCGGTTCCACACCCTCACGGTCTGTATTCATCCTACCCCAGAGCTCGGCGGGCTGGAACCTGCTCAGGTAGCCTGGAGTCGCAGGTGTGCGAGCGCTGGGAAGCCAGCGTGTCCGTGTCCACACCTCCTGGCGTCTTGCCGAAGGATGTGCGTTTTATCAACGAATTCCGTCTGCTTGGCAAGAGTCCAATTTTTAGCTCATAAGAAAGTGGCACTATCTCAGAACGTTTCTTAAAAAATGTCAGTTTATTTTTTAAAAATTCCTCTTTATGAAAAAGATGGGAAGAAGTAAAGTCTGCTACTGTGAAGTTCAATTGTTGTTTTCAAAGTTTTCATCCACTGCAGTCTAAAATATTTAAACATTAAAGAGTTAATTCATTCATGAATTTGTTATATTATAAATAATCTCTGAACATTAGGGAGATTCTTGGTATGCCAAGTTTGCTACTCCAGCATCTGACACAATGCCAGGCTACAAAATAGAAATATCAGTTGTAATTCAAAGGGTCATTTTATTTTTCTTAAAAAAAGCTTACTATTTTTTTCTCTAGTTTTTTTTTTCTTTTCTTTTTTTTTTTAAGATAGGTGTTCCTTATAAAACTTTTCTAAGACAGGATCAAAATATTTCTAGATCAGTGATCATTCTTACAAGTTTGAGGACTCTTCAGGGTAGAAAATCACTGGGACGGTGAATGTGGGAGTGAGGAAGGAGCTGGGTGAGAGAGTGGAGGTTTTACTGAGCATGCATGGTGGGACTGAGACGGGTATCACAGGGCCTCACCATAGCTTTGACGTGTTTCTCTCTCCTGGGAAGTGTGTAATTAAGTGCTTATATTTCTCTCTGCTGAGAGACCAGTGATATGACCAGAATTGACCTTTATCCAGGGCTTCTGGGGTTAGCAGCAACATTTTCTCCTGACAATTAGGAAAAAAAAAAAATTCTGTGTTGACTTTCATCACAGAAGTCTCCACCTGTTTCTTTGCAAGTTATCTTTCTACTTTTATTGTGCTCATCTCTTTATAATAAAGCTTACAAGATTTTATGGTATGGCACTTAGAGAACCGGCCGCTTGCATTGCCTCCTTTCCTCAAATACGGTAATAGCACGAGGTCGCCTTGCAACTTGCCCAGTGAACACGCAATCTGCTGATGTGCGTAATTGTGCAGTGGGGTGCCCGGCATAAATCTATGCTCTTCATACACCATATGTGTAATTCTGAGCGTAGTCAGCACTAATGATGGCAGGAGGCACCAAGGTATCTGGCGGACAGCGTATGGCAGGGGATACCACCTTTAACAATATGTCCTTACACCTTCGTGCAGTCGATAAAAATGGACACCAGCAAGAACAGATCATATTTCATATATTTCACAGATCTTTAACTGTGTTTCTAAAATATTTTATCCAAGAAAGACATTAAGTGCTTCAATACACATACACACCAGGATATGTGAAGACTTCAGAAAGTATGAGCATCTTATATATTGAGTTGTCATAAAGTTGTGATGTACTTTTTCTATGCAAAAATGCATAATGACTTTTCTGACAACTGAGTAAGTAGGTATGATTGATACATTTGATAGGACAATATTAGCTTCAAGAATGCATGAAGTAAAATAATGCCTTTGAACTAGGGGTTATTCTCGTAATGTTCTTTAATGTATTTCTCAGATATTTTGGGTATTTTGTTATATGAGAACTCTCAACTGGGAAAGATGAGGAAGAAGAGAAAGAAATCTCAGTATAAGATGAAAACAGCACAGTAGCAGACTGCCCAGAGTCGGCCATGGTGACGTTCTGAGGTTATGGAAAAGTGCTTATGTGAGAATACTGGGAAATATACGAGAAAAGATTGTGTACAAGGAACAAGCTTGTACTACTGGAAGGCATCTTGCTTTCATTGCTCCAGTTGTTCAATTTAATAGGTTCTTTAGGACCTCCATGATACAGAGAAATTTCCTTAACCTTCCTTGAGGCAAAAGTATCTTGAGCTCAACTATAAGGTTGTCTTATGGGTTTTTCCATGGTGTAATTTGAATTCTAGGTTAAGGTGCTTTATGGTTCACAAAACATTGTGATTTGAACTTCTGAATAAAACTTCGATATGAAAATTGGTTAAGTAAAACCTTGACTGAAAGGTTTTGTCATTTTCTGGAATTAGAAGTTAATATAAGGACAACAGTTACAGATTTGTTGAAAATATTTAGGAGCTTGATATCTTACTCAGAGGGCCAAGATAATGAAATTAATAGAGTTTTAAAAAATTAAAGATTTTGAGACAAATTCTCCAGAAGCCACAATTATCTCCTGGCTATATATTGAGCACATTTTGAAACTTAATGGACTCGTTAGTTTCATTTTACAAAAAACATGAATGATAATATCTGCCTTGTCAAGAAAGACTTCTTAAACTTTTGTTGAAAGTTTACTGGCAACAAAATCTCTTTTTTTGTGCATCTAAAAATACTTTTATATAGCTGTAATTTTAAAAGAATACTTAAGCTGGGTATAGAATTTTTATTTGGTAGTTACTTGTTGCCAGCTTTAACTCTTGTTATTCTTTTAACTCTTGGCTTCCATAATATGTGCAGTCTTGTTGCTTTTAAGGTAATGTGTCATTGTCTCTGGCTGATTTCATAATTTTTCCTCCAGTTTTACTATGTTCCTATAGCAAGCTAGCTAGCTAGCTAGCTTGCTTTCTTTCTTTCTTTCTTTCTTTCTTTCTTTCTTTCTTTCTTTCTTTCTTTCTTTTTGATTCTGATTTTGTAGAGCTCCTCTTAAATTTGTGGGTTGATATCTTTCATCAGGTGAAGTGCATTGATGAATTCTTGACTATTTTAATATATAGCAATACTCCATTGTGTTTTCTTTTTTTTCAGATGTTTTATGTTTAACAGTTGGTTCATTGTACCCAAAATTCCTTTTATGCTTATTTCACTGTTTCTACTCTTCTTTTCTGTATATTTATTGTAATTTTATTTTTTTAAAAATCTTTTCTTCAGTTTGTTGTCTTTCTTTTACATTCAGCCTCTGAAGTTGTCAAGCTTGTTCAGGGGTAATTTTTTTTTTCTATTTTCAAATGTGTATTTTATTCTTTTCTACAAATTCCACTTATTTTCTTCATTTTTTCTTTTACTTTGAATATACTAATCAAAGCTATTTTTAAGGTTTTTTGGCCAATGTCAATCACTGTATTGTTATATTGCTCTTTTCAGTGTCTTTTTTATTATTTTTTTAAATTGGAAGTCCCCTGTGTAGCCAGTACTCAGCTAGGTCCTAGTAATGTAATGATAAGGAAAAAGGTGTGATTCCTGCCTCTTTAGAACATTCTATTTCGAGAAGTTAAATAATGAACTTATCCACATATTCAAGTGTTCAGTGAAGGACAAGTGTACATGGAAGGACAGCCTGTTATGGGGAAATTTGACTTGGCCCTGAGGTCTGTACAAGCCTCCTTGAGCAATTGACATTGGTGCTGACACCTGAAGGGAGAAAGAACTGGAATGAAAAGGGAATGTTTTCTAACAGGGACAAATGCTATGTGCTCAAGGCCCCACTGTTGAGGACAGCTTAGTAGCTGTAAGTTACTCAAGGACATGTGGGTTGGGAAGATGTACCAGATGGGAAGGACTGTCTCTAAGTGTTTGGCATATTAAGGAATGAAGTGCATGTGTGTGTGTGTGTATTGGGGGGAGGGCAGTGAAGAAGAGCCTTACAAATAAATGAGACTATGTATTAGCCTAAAATAAATACATGAAGAATATGAGGAGCATGTTGGATAAAATATACACAGTGTTAAATATTAAGAATTATGAACTTTTGGGTTGATTCAGTGGTGCAGCAGTAACATGCTACTCAAGCAAAGATGCTGGATCCATATGGAGATTGTGGGTTCAGTTCTCTGGTTGACCCATACACACTGATCCTGGCTGGCTGGTGGGGAATAGGAAGTGCGGAGTAGTAGGGATTAACATGTGATGGCCTAATAGTTAAGGGAGCCAGGCTCCACATGGCTGACCATGCAGTTTGAATCTCTGCCCTGGCAGCTTGTGTGCATATGTGTGCTTAATATCCCAAGAAGATGTAAAAATGGAAGAGAAGGGATTGTGGCAGGACCACA